TCAATAGTCGTGTTCAACTACATTACCAACTAACCTGCACGCTCCCTAACATGAATAACATAACAGGAGTTCTCTACCTGGTGCACATCGACATCCTGGGAACCGCATTCGGCAATCTGGAGGGCAACCACAGAATTTGCTGCAGATTCCGCTAGCTGACGAACAAACACACTGAGAGTTTCCATCACAGTGACCAGGATGGGAGCAAGGAACCATGCGTTCTTTATTCTCCACCTAAAAAGGCTACCGATAGAACTCAGCAATAACATTCATGTAAAAGCGACTATTTCGCCCAGATAAAGTGCTTTATTCACCTGTCCCTTCCCATCAGCCCATGTGAACGACCGGAACGACCGATGCTTGTCTTTGACGGAACTTGAAAAGCAAAAAAATTACACCAGCCACCCACACCGCTTTAGAATAAATTGTAACTTACACTTTCTTATGCTCAGGCGTGAGACTGGGATTTGCTTGAGCTAGTTGTGAAGCCAAACGATGAATCTGAAACATCAATGTTGAGAATCGACTTTAGACGTTAAGTATCGGAATGGGACAAGCGAACAGCGGGGAGTTCAGACGGTCACGCCTGGTGGTTAAGAGCTACGGGCCAAGACAATCCAGTGTGAACAATGAGAGTACAAATTAAAATCGACTTGATCGATGAACTAAGTGTGACAATGTGCCCACTGCCTTGACATACTGTCATGATTCCTGCAAATGATAGGGCATTTGACGCGGCGTGAATTGGAGGCGGTCCCTTACTCCTTATGGTAGCGCACTCTGCCGCCCCGTGGTGGGGAATCTGCCCATATGGGCTCCAAGCCACCCCGTAAACTCCTACCTTTGCCGGTATCAGACGATAAACGCGCGGAAGGAACTTCAAAATGTTAGACCCGGAGTTTGTACATTTGATGGATCAATAACGAGTCTCTTTCAGCGGTATCAATCTTTACAGCCCCTCCCCTCCCTCAATGCAATGAATCTCCTTGACTACTTCAAATCCCATCCATAACTACTTCTATTGTACGAACGATAGTCAACTGGTACTGACCAGAAAAGGATGAAATGAAGGATATAACGGCTGATCTGCCTTCAAATGGTGAGGATGTGATTACGAGTCTATGTGATGTGGATAAGAGATACTGCAAGAAACAAAGAAAGAACGAACGAATAAATGAATGAACTTGAATGAAAGAAAGAAAGAATGAATGAATATCGGAAGAACAAAAATACTACAAAGTAACAACGGGGCAATTCGGTGACGGGGGCACTTTGCACTTTTGGCACTTCCCATCGACGTGTCGACCATCTAGAGAGCCTTTTCGTGAGCTTACAAGAGTTGACAGGTTTTACCATGGTGGCTCGACGAGCTTGCTCCAGCTTCACAAGAGTTCACAGGTTTCACCAGAGTGAGACTTGTAAACCAGAACTAGTGAAAAAGTGAAAGTGCAAAATGCCCCCCCCCCCGTCGCCTAACTGCGCCCAAACAACTACAGAATAAAAAAAACCATCACCTCGCTGCATGTTTTTGGGGGCTCTCCAATATCCTCACATATCATGCTCATCTGTGCTGTGATCAAACATGTGGATGTCTGTTCACCAGCCAATAACGCTGTGAGAATGTTCATCAACGTCGGGTTAGAGAATGCTGGAGTTTTTCCATTTGAGATATGCCCATTCAAAATGTTGGATGATGCACCGTCAGGACCACCATTTGATTGGCGATGTCGACTTCGAGGTGATGACGGACTTCGACAGTTTGGGGTCTGCTTCTTATCGGATGAGCTGCTTGGTACCTAAATAAATAGCAGCAATAAGTAAAACGCTTAATTCTACCTCAATCACCGCCTTTCTGCGAGTACTTTTACATCGGTGATCAAAACCTTCGTCTTTTTTTTACTTTCCCAAGAAATATGTACTGAAATCCGTGTCCAAAGATGTGTTCTCGTAACTTTTGTACACGAAATAGATGCCAATTAGACCATATGAAAGAGCGCAGTGAGAAAAATGCATGCACACACCATGTGTGTCACGCGGTCCGAAACGTATCAAACCAGTACCGTTTGCTATGTTTCATTCACGGACGTTCAGAGCTGATAAAGTTGGATGAAAATCGCTCACGTTGCTTGCCTTTGGGCATTCATTACGATGACAATGCGGGCCACACGGTTTCGGTCTAGGAGCTCTCGTTCCTTGACGACGTTTGAACGGTTTCACTTCATCGTCGTACGGGCCTCAAGAAGGATATTGTATAGAACTATTGCTGCAAACAACATTGATGTCTAATTGAGCTGAGATTTCTGGAACCGCAGTTTCGTGCGGGCGGGCATATTTCACATATTGGCGGCATCGCTGCTTCTCATCGATGCAGACTATGCTAGAGCTGACTGGTATTTTTTACAAGATATGACAATTTAAACTGATCGGTGAATAAAGTGAGGCGGGAAAATTTTCAATAAATCCACTGGTAAATGGCGCCTGAGTTCGTTCGGCGGCGGAAGCCAAGTGCACCATAAATCAAAGTCTGTGTTATACAAGAGATTTGTGAAAAACTAGTAAAATGCCTATATATAGGCGGCATAATGGAACTACAACACATGGGTAATATAGGTGTCAATGTTTTGCCACAGAAAGTGGGCGTGTTTTCTGGGGGTGGGGCATGGTTTATTTGTGGCCATATAACTCTCCGTGAGTGGGGGGGGTGGGTTCGCCCAAAACTGGCCAAAAAAAATCGACTCTGCGAAGGATTGTCCCTACCCTGCCTTTAATGGATTTAATTGAGCGTACTCGGCGTTTACAAATATGTCTTAACACAACGGCAAGCAGTAAAAGTGCAAACTGCTCCTCCCAAGCCGAACTGCACCGATTTTTATAAGCTCTTATCGGCCAAAATGCTGCAGCTGCTCATTTACCGGAGCAAAACACAAGAAGCTCACCATGCAGCACACAGTCGTATTGGTAGCACCGCTCACAACACAGTACATTCACCGAATGGAAATTCTGATCGCTTCTAGACCGCAGCTCCTGCGTACTTTTCGATGGCGTTCGACCCGGTGCAAACCTCTCTTCGAGATCGCCTCTTCTAAAACACATCACGCTAGTTCGCATAAATCCCCAGCAAAACACCGAATCCATCCCAAGAAGAATAAAAGGTAGAAACTCACGCTGTAACTAATTGCCGATGAGACAGCTTATTCGGGAACAGCTTGAAAATGGCATAATAGATATGGTCCATAATTTCTAAAGAAAAAGCACTTCATTGATCAACTGCTAAAATATGCATTGAGAATTATTGTTGCGTTAGTAACTGACTCTCAGAATTTGGTTTGTCTTCCCAGTCCTGCTTCAGAATCTCCAGCATGTGGAACATAATATAGTCATTGATATATTTATCACAACCGCGATCTGCTCCATGAATACCCTGAAACCCTCTTTGCGACGATCACAATTCTAGGACAATTTTCCCATATTCAGTGCGACACAAAAGGCTTCGAAAATCACAAGAATGCCGAGGTAGAAGTCGTGACCCCAGGCGGGATTCGAACTCGCACCTCACACTCTCCGGGTGAATGCGCTATCTGTGAGGCCACCCTTTAAAGGTTTTCATGACGTGATCCCTGCGGGGGCCATGACTTTTGCCCATGAATCAGCAATAATTCTCGCAGCGCGAATCGCAGCTTCAACAGCAGTCAAAGTCGAGTTCTTGTCTAGCCTAAAGGAAAGTGGCGCGAGAAATCCCCAAGACGTGTAGAATTAGTACGCTCAGGGTACAGCATCGTTGTGTGAAAAACATAGGGGGATCGTACTCTTCCGTTGGGGAGGGAAGGGGAGGGGGTCGTATTTGGTCGTTGTTGGGAGAGGGGGGAGTCGTATATGGCTTTAAGAGAAATTTGCCGCTCTAGGAAAAAACTTTCCCGGTTGTTGACTTTTCGTGTTATTTTTCATGTGTACTATAGACCCTTTTTTATATGGGGGGGGGGGGATCGTACTGACACCTCCCTCGAGGGAGGTCGTACTGGTCTGATACATTATTTCACAATGATCACGATGTTGCTAACCTGGAATACGCTTAGCGAGGCACGAGATAAGTGGCGCTGCCTGCGCAGGCGTTGCGAAGGAGCTTTTCCCCATGTTGAGTTTATAGTTTTACCTGTGCCTGGTCATGGCTGGAACTACTGACCCGGCCGGCTCTCACCACGCCCCGCCCGCCACAAATGTGCCGACCTATACTTGATGCCGTATCGCTTCATTGCGAAGTAAAGGAAGTGGAAGGAACCTGATTATGAAGCGCGCCAGCCGTAACCCACGCGCACGGATAAACGACTTCATACATGCAACAATGGGAAACTCGTTCGAAATTGCTTCCTGTCGTGCAGAATAGAGGTTTTTGCAGGTTTTAGACTGTTTTAACGGGCGATACCGGCGAAACGGGTCAACGGTGCTCTGGAGTGTATTCTTTTTCCAATATTTTGTTTTTCTTTGCTTCTAATTTGACTGTTTCACTTCGCTTTTTGGCATTTTCCCAGTACATGACACCTCTGCTACCATTTTAGACCGAGTTCCAAATAATCGTACTTTACACCTTTGAAGGCAGTTGGCACGATGGTTTCCTACTCGGCCTAAAATGCTAGTAGGGCGCTATGTAGTGGGGAAATGGCGAAAGAACGGAGTGAAACGGTCAAAATCCTGCGAAAAAAGCCTCCGTTCTCAGTGACTTGAAAATCGATTTCGGACGAGTTTCCCGTAGGCATCTTACCAATCACCGCTACCGAAGATACGGCTGCATATGTGTACCCATGTATGCATGCAGCATCACGGCCGCTTCATACCAATCCCTTCGCTTCATAATTTGCTTAGCAAATGAATGAATACGAGCGTCAGGAACGTCCATTTGTGGGCGGGCGGGCGTGGCGGGCGTTTGGGACGTAAAGTTGTGGCTTGATAGGGCCCTTATAAGGGCACCTTCCTCGGGGAAACCGCTATGCAGCGCCTGCCCAGGGTCGCGGAATTCTATCCTGCCAGGAGTATTGATCCTAGTCGTCTTGGGGGATTTATCGTGCCAACTGCCTTTAAGAAGAAGAGCTTGAAAATGATATCACTTGAGATCTAGAGACTTTCTAGTTATCAGTTTCCTAACCCGGATTATAACCGAAATTTCGCCAAAAAAACGTGAGAAAGTATTCAAGAGTAAGCGTCCGCATTCAAAAAACCGCCGCTTTGCTTTTGTATTTCCACATTCATGATGTTTTT